GAAAAAAGGGGGGGGGGTAGTAGGAAAAAAAAAACGGAGGTTGACTCGCGCGCGTTCCGTTTGGGGGGGGGGGGGGGGGCTCTCCTCCCCGAAAAAAAAAGGAGAACGGCGCGCGCCGCAAGAGCGGGCGGGGCTTTTTCTCTCCCCCTTTCTCTCCCCCTTCCCCCCCCCCCCCTCTCTCTCACTTTCTCCGCGAGTCTCTCTCTCTCTCTTTCTCTCTCCGGTTGTCTCCCCTCCCCAGCGCGCACGCACGCACGCGCGCACGCGCGCCCGGGGCATACGTCTCCGCGCTAAATGCTAAATGACGGCATTGGGTTCTCGAAGACGAGCGCGGATTCTGGCTCTTGCGTGTTTTCTCTCCTCCTCCTCTTTTTTATTCTTCTTCTTCTTCTTCCTTCGACGCACCGACTTGTCGGGAAGGGGAAAAAACGCACGAGAGAAAGAAGTAAGTACCAACTCTTTAACTCTCCAACCTCAACTTCCACGTTCGCGGACTCGTTCCATCCCTTTTCGTCGATTCGGATTCCAGATGGTTCGTTTTTTTAAATATATTTTGGACCGTTTCTTTTTCTTTTTTTGTTGTTTGTTTCTTCTCCCTAAAAGCTCTGCTCCTTGTGACTCGGAGTCTAAAAAACTACTTCTACTCTGTGAGATGTTTAGAAGCAGACGAGGGTTGAAGTTTAGGTTTCCGTTTGCGTTTTTTTTTGTCCGTATCGCACTTTTACGCGCACCTGATATCGGCCAAATCTCGAGTATAGTGCAACAAATTGGGGTTTTTAGACACCGTTTAGTTTGGCAAATGTCGCAAATTGATGTGCTCTTGACAAGCGGATGAGAGATGAGATGAGAGAGAGGCTTTATCTCTTTTCGGTCGAGTTCCATCCGCGTAAACTTGACCGAAAATGGAAAAAGTGGACGGCGTCGTTTTCGGTGCGCGAGTTCCTCTTGTTGCTGCCGGGTTTGTCGTTATCGTGAGGGTGATTGTTGTTCGGTAATAGGACAAAAACAAACCACCCTCTCTCTACATCTGCCCGTTCCGGAGAGCTGTGCGTAAATGGGGCTGTTTCTGACCGTTCCTCGGTCCTATTACTGCCAGAAGTAATAGGCAGTGTGTCGAGTAAACTTTTTTTTTCAGCCGGATTTTATTTTAAGACTCTTAATAAAAAACAAAATAGAATAATCATTTTTAGAAAAGACCTAAAAAAGCCGCTGCTGTTTTTATTTTTTATCGCGTTTTTATCGCATTTTCCAAACTTTCTTAGACTAGACTTTCTATTTTTTCCAAAATCCGAATTGTCCTCAGTTAACAGCTTCTCTTCTATCTTAAGTGTTAACGTAACTAATTAATCAGCTACTTCCCTTTTCAGTTCTCGGTTGCAGTGGAAGTTGATTCCAGCTCTTCCAAACTGAAACGGAAGTTTCAGTTTTGCTCCAAAAACCGAACTCGCACACTTTTTCTCACATCTCTTTTCGACAATCCTTCAAACGGGGGCTCGAAACTTCACCATTAAGAAAAAGAAAAACAGAAAAAGAAAAAGAAACAAGCCTTTTAGGCTTTGCTTTTTGTTTTGGTGTGATTTAGAGAAAGAATTGAGGAATAAACGCCCATTAAGACATGATGTGTCAGTAGCTTTTTACACTTGATTCACTCTCAGTTTTTCCCCCCCCCCCCCCCAGCAAAATTAGAAAATAACCTAAACCTTTGGCTCTTCCCACATCTAGAAAGCTCAACTTTTCTTTGCGAGAGTGACCACTATCTCTTCCACGACTAGCACAAAGGAGCAGATAAAGCAAATAGGCGGAAATGTGTGTATGCATGCATGGATAGTGTGTATGTTAGTGTATGTGTGTGTGTATGTGTGTGTGTGTGCATCTGGGTCACCGGCTTGGGCTGCACAGAGAGGTCAGAATTATCCCCCCCCACCCAGCATACACACACACACCCCACTCCCCCCTACCAGAACAGTTCCAGATTGCTGTAGTGAACTCGGCATCGTATTCTGTTTATGGAAGTAAACACTTTGGTACAGTAACACAACGGTATAAGCTTTGTCGGCAAAAGGGTCTTGTTTTTTTTCTATCTGGACAGTTGACCGCGCTCGGCCCCGCTCGGTCACAGCGCTTCCAAAAAAACTGTTGCAGGAAGTTTCATTCGGGGGGATGATTTTCCCTATAGTCCAGACCTTGAAATTCCTTGCAAAACAGATGCAAACGCGGAACGTGGACAGCCGTGCCTTTGTGTGTTTGCTTGCGTACGGGTGATTGAGAGCCGTGTGTGTGTGTGTGTGTCTGAAAGGTACCGAGTTTTCTCATAAAAAACTAATCTTTCCACAACAGGAAAAACTAATGGGAGCAAAAATAAAGAAGCATGGAGAGCTCAGTGAGGTTTACCGTCATGGGAAGGGGGAATTCTCTCTAAAATTTGAGGTAGAGTGAGTCAAAAATGAAGACAGACACAATAAGGGAACTAAAAAAAAAGTGCTTTTTTGTCTTGAGAGGGAAGCGAAATTACTCTGACTGTAAGAGAGAGCCGGTCGATTCCTCACGGCTCCTCACAAGATGCAGAAATCAAGGTTGCCCCTCAGGAGACGCAGAGGAAATGGGAAATTATTTTGGTTAGAACAAGCAGGTGTTCCTTTTTCTGAGGGGATATCTCCTTGAACCATTTTTAAGACACCGTGGTTCCCACGGCTTTTGGTAGTTTTATTTGAAAAATATTCTCGATTCGACTTGTTTTGTTTTCTTTGCTGTCGATGAATGCCTCCTTCGGAACATAAAGAACAAAAATACTTTATTGGAACTTTATCTTCCGGTCTAAGACTTTTATCCTTGCACAGGCCTCTAGATATATCGTTCGACGCCAAGTCTATCAATTTGCGTTGACCTGTGTTAACTGTGTCATTTACCAGGTAACTCCTCTCATCCTGCATGTCTGTGAGGACCCCCTGGTCATGCATGTTTAGCTGCCCTGCGTGATGCCTGATCATGACAGCGCCGCCCTCCTAACCAGACAGACCAAGCGCCGACGAGTGGACATCGGGGTGAAGCGGACCGTGGGCAGCGCGATATTCGCCCGCGCCAGGGAGAGCCTGCTGGAGAGAATGAACCAATCGCACTGCCCCGATCAGGACGGGGACTGCTCGCTGGTCGGCCGGGGACACGGCCACGGCCACGGCGGGGCCAACGGGGACGGGGAGAAGTCCAACGTCCTGCGGAAGCTGCTGAAGAGGGCCAACTCCTACGAAGACGCGATAATGCCCTTCCCCGGGGCCACCATCATCTCCCAGCTTTTGAAAAGCAACATGGGAAAAAACGGCGGGAGTGACTCGGGCTTTCAGGTACACAACGGCCCCGAGGTCCTGGTGAATCATCGGTAGCTTTCGGTTTTGATGAGTTAAAATCTCTTCCGATTAATGTTGAAAAGACATCTCTCTAGATCGGACTACGACCTCAAAGTCGTAGTCAATCAGTCCAGTGGAATGATTGTTCCACTGGATTGTCGATCTGATTGATTGATTGTTCTTTAATACTGTTCTTTTGTCCTACGTTGAAGGGGAGTGGAGCGTTGTCCAGTGGAGGTTCGGAGGTCCAGGCAGAAGATGCCTGTAGCAGCTCTTCCCGCGATCGGGACAGCCCGTCTGACTGCCTTTCCCCGGGGCCTCCCCTGCCCCCTCCGACCACCGCCTCCTCCTTCGGGCGTCCGCCGCCCCCCTCGAACCACAATTCCCACGCCCCCTCGCAGACGGTGCCCCTCTCCTCCTTCGACCTGGACCGGCTGTCGGACGAGCACCTCCGCGCCAAGCGAGCCCGCGTGGAGAACATCATCCGGGGCATGAGCCACTCCCCGCTGGTCCGGCCGAGCGCCGGCGACCACGGGCAGGAGGGCAACCGCGAGGGCGAGGGCGGCGGCGGCGGCAATGGCAACGGCAGCGACCACAGAGGGGACGGCGGCAGCCTCAACGCCAGCACCCGCAGCGACTGCCCGTCGTCCATCCTGAGCTCTCCGGGGTCGCGGGGCGGCGGGGTCAGCGTCGGGGAAGTCTATCGGGAGAATAAGAGGAAGCAGCGTCTACCCCAGCAGCAGCACTGCTTCACTCAGCTGGTGTGTTCCCGGCAGGAGCAGAGACAGGAGGAAAGAAGGCAACTCAAACTACAACTGGAAGACATGCAGGTTGGTACAAGGTGACGCCGGGATTAAACCCCCTTTTGATGGCGTTTGATGTTAACTTGCGCTACGAACAACGTCCACATAAAAGAACTGTCGACAGTAATGTCCCAGAGAGCTTGCATGAAGTCTTAGGACTGTAAGAAACATGTTTAAAAATGTATAGAATAAAGAAAACAAGAAGGATAGAAAAGCATAGGGTCATGGACATTAACGTCATGGACATTGGGACTTTTGTCCCATTCTCGTGGATTAGGAACGTGATACTGCAAATACATCTATGCTGCCAATCTTTATGTTTCTAAAATCTTCCTCTATGGTCTCTCTCTCTCCGTTGTCTAGAAACAACTGCGCCAACTTCAGGAAAAGTTCTACCAGATCTACGACTCTGAGACAGAAGAGGAGGAGGAAAATGTCGAGAACGGAGAGGGCGACCGCAGCGGAGAGAGAGAGGAGGACGGGAATTTGTCCGAGGACAGCATCCGCTCCGACGGCCTGGAGGAACGGCACCGGGACAGGGGCCGGCGGAGTCACGCCGACCTCTCGGAGCTGGATCCCGGTCTGTTCCTGGACCGCGCCCGAGCCCTCCTGCGCGAGCAAGCCCTGATGGACGGGGAGATGGAGGAGGACGTGGAGAGCAGGGAGGGAGAGGAGAGGAGCGGAGACGGGGGGATGAAAAGGAGAGCGGTGGCGGCGGAGGGAGGGGCGGGGGGAGGACGGCAGCTGGCCGAGACCCTGAAGCAGGAGCTGAACTGTGCCGTGTCGCAGGTGGTCGACACCGTCGTCAAGGGCTTCTCCTCGCCCAAGCAGGTCACCGGTCGCCATCACGGCTGCCACAGCAGCACGCCGGCCGCGCCCTCTTCTTCCTCCAATTCGTCCTCTTCCTGCCCGCCGCCTTTCGGCCCCATGCCCCCCCTCACCCCGGACTCGCGTTTCGGCGGCGGCGCCTTGGCGCTCAGCCTGAACGGGGACGGGAGCCCCACCTCCAACTACCACTCCTCCAACCAGAGGCTGCACTGCTTCGGCGACGTGATCGTTCCCAGCCCCCTCGACTCGTTCGGCCGGTTGAGCGGCGTGCCCACGCCCAACGATCAAACGGAGGCGCTGCCGCTCGTGGTACGCAAAAGCGGAGGCGGCGGCGGCGGGGAGAACGTCAACCAGTCGATCCCGCCCCCCCCTCCTCCCCACCACCCTTCCCTCCACCCGTCTCCCCTCACGGCCTCGCTCGGTTTCAGCCCTCCATCGTTTCGTCACCCGTTCCCCCTCCCCCTCATGGGTTACCCCTTCCAGAGCCCCCTGGGGTCTCACGGCGGCGGAGCTGGCTACCCCCCGGGCCCGAAGGACCACCACCAATCCTCCCCAGACTCCATGGACATAACCCGGGAGAGCGTCAGCATCCGAACCAAAATGGCATCCCTCGCGGGAGGCCACATGGGCCACTACAATCACCGGCAGAGCTCTCCGAGCCAACACGGGCCAGAGGGCCTGTCGCTGTCGCTCATCAAGTCTGAGTGCGGGGACCTGCAAGACATGGCTGAAATATCGCCCTACTCAAGCAGCACTGTATCCTTCTCACTGTAAACTTTTACCGCACACACCTTAAGAAACTCGCGAAGTGCTTGAGACACAATCAAAGCAAGGCAATCTTTGAATTAAAAGCATTAGTTTAGTCAGATTTAGGTCTTATAGGGGTACCTTCAGAATAATCAACAATTCACCGCTTTTGAAAACTGAACCATAACCTTAAAATAAACTGGAAATCATGATTGGAAGATATGTTAAGAGGATAAGATCTTCTATGTATACCAGACGATTGTTCAATAAGATTATAATTTTTATGTTTAGAGTAGGGATTAGCACACCTTAAGAAACTTGCAAGTGCTTGAGACACAATCAAAGCAAGGAAATCTTTGAATAAAAGCATTAGTTTTTGGTCAGATTTAGGTTTTAAGGAGTACCTTCAGAACAATCAACAATTTACCGATTTTGAACACTGAACCATAAACTTAAAATAAACTGGAATTTAAGATTGGAACACATGCTAAGAGGATATGATCTTCTATATATACCAGACGATTATTTAATAAGCTTATAATTTTTATGTTTAGAGTAGTGATTAGTGTTGGATATTAGGATAGAAAAAGATAAGCACTTAAAGGGATGAACACAATCCCCAATGCTACGATACTGCTTATTATTTTCTTTCCCTGGACAATGGGAGTCACATTTTTCAGAGCGTACCATATCAGACATAGCAGCAGCAGGAGGCAAAGTGACACCAAGTCCTCAATATCAATTAATCTTCATGAATTGGTTCGGCGTGTTGGGCCCTTGTTTCCCCTCTAAGAGGGGAAGATGAAAAGGGCGCGCTGGGTCTTGCAAAGAGGGGGAAGATTAAACAGGTCGCCTGCTGCTCTCTCAAGCTCTTTTAAGCCCGTGCAGCAGGTTCGTGGTGTTTAAAGGTGCTGGGAAAAAGCTTGCGGAGCTCCCCCCTCCTTAACACCTGAACGCACCGATCCCCCCCCCCAGTCTGAGACACCCTTGTGCTGTAAGGTCCTCTTTCATCGCGAAGACTTTGTACATAAACGCTCAAAGCAAATCATATTTCACTTTGTCTAAGTGTGTGTGTGTGTGTGGGTGTGTGTGTGTGAGGTAGCTCAAAGCTAATCATATTTCAAAGAGAACAGGAAAAGGAGCAGGCGAATGTTTGGACTCATTGTTGGCAGTTTTTTTTCCGAAAGTGTATTAGTGTTGCGGGCAAACATAAAGAGAAGTGTAATATCTAAAATGTACACAGTTTCCTCTCTATCATTTTTAGATCCCCCCCCTCCCCCCTCCACTCCTTTCTATTATGAAACACTCCTACTCACTTTCATTTGTTGGCCTTCGCTCTCAGTTGCTCAGCAGCTGTGTGTGCTTTGCTTCCTTGCGCTCGCGCGCACAAAAAAAAAACCCGCAACCCTTTCATGGCGCGTGCGCGCAGACAGGTGTTCTCAGGTCGCTGTTTATCTTTTTCCTTTCCTAACCTTTCATATGGAGAGGGCTCCTACCGGCCACTCCACTTTGACTCACACACGTGTACACAGAGGGAGGGGTGTGTGTAGCGACACGCACGTTTGAACAACAAAGTTAAAAGAAAAACAAGACTTTGAACCCGACAAACAGGGACTCCTTGCAGGTGCGATGGGGATCTGATCAGTGTCATCTTCAAAGCCAATTTAGATGTTCCTTTAATTAAAAAACAAGAAATATTTGACACGTCTCTTGATCCTGTGGAGCCGTTTCATTCCTAAATGCTCCCCCCATTCATTTGGTAGGGGGAAAAAAACATCTTTGAAACTGGACATTAGTATTTCAAAGATGGTGACTAACCTTCAAAACCCTGCAACATTTGTTTGATTTTGGGGGTAAAAGACGACGGTAAATTGTTTCAAAACATCACAGTCTTTTATAAAAATCTGTCATTTCTTATCAAATGTCAACAATTATAGAACAATATAACATATCATAGTATATAAGAGCATCTACGTATTACATTGCTGAGTACTTAATAGGCAAAAGGAAAAAATGTACGAAAGTATTTGACTTGGAGTTCAATCCACATATTTTTTCCTTTGATTTTTTTTTTCTTTGACCTGAGTTGTAACTAAATTATCCTGGGAATTGCAACCTGAATTGTAAAGTAATACTTTTTCCGACACTTTCATCAAAATCTTAAGTATGTTTTGTGGCATCTGCTTTTAAACTTAAACGTTTGTGTTATTTTCTATCAAAAAGAACCCATGTTTTTTCTATGACATACAGCTTAGTACATAAAGAGGGCAATTTTATAAAATTTTGGGACAGAAAAAGTACAGATTGGATAGATTTAAGTCCTTAAAGCTTAATAGGAATGCCAGTTATGGGCCAGTTTGGCATAATTAATGTGCCACTACCTATACCAAACACATCTTAGATGATTAAAAAAAGAAAAAAATGTTTTAAAGAAGGCTTTAAAGAAGCCTGGCTCTCGGTTCAGTTGTTTTTCCATATTCACAGTTTACCTGAAATGCTTTTTCTCACACAGGCAGAAACACACTCAGGTCTGTGTATCCCTAATCCTTTGTATTGAGCTGAGCAGATGTCCTCCATTCATTTATGAATTTATCCCTCCGCCCCCCTCTTTTTCTCCCGTTTCACCCCCCACCCCTCCCCTCCCCTCCCTCCCATTCAGACGCACACACACAAACACACACACGCAAACACAGACACGCAAACACCTGGGAAGACGGTAAAGTTACAGCTGACACTCTTTGACAGATACGCATTTGGAAAAACTGGAGAACGAAGGAAAGGGGAGGAAATGAAAATAAAACGCCTCCAATTGCATTGTTAACTCACCGACTGTTTTTTTTTTTTTTTTTTTTGGGTACTCCCACAGAGAGATAAACACACAATTAGCTTTTTTAAATTTTTTTACTCACAGTGATATGACCTCACGCGCGTAAAGCCGTGTTTACGAGGTTTTTAGTACGTTTGTGTTCACAAACAGAAGAGGCGGGCTGTAAAAACTAGGACAGGTTTTTCTTAACACACACACACACACACACACACACACAAATACAGAGGCAGTGACAGGTTGGTATGAATGTTAACTACGCGATGGTGTTGTTGTCCAGCGACCTGACGTTCCGTTTAGCGGAAATGAATGATGGATGACAAATAAGCCTCACTTTTGGCTCAACGGTGGGGTTTTTATTTTTTTTTGTGATTAGAGTTTCGAGTTGATTAATTCATTTCATTGGAATTTTAGAGCAACGGCGAGCTCTTTAAGCCCAAACTAAACATGTATATTTAAAAAAAAAAATGTCATGACTAGAGAAAATGTGATTTCAGCTTGAGTGGAGCAAAGTATTGTGTAAAAAAAAAAAAAAAAAAAAACCCTTACCGACACTTTAAATTTCTCCTCCACTCTGTCCTTAAGCTGCTCCCTTTCTCCTTTTTCCTTAACTCCAACTGCTGATGCTACTCTTTCCCCTTTTTTTCCAGCCCGGCACGGCCCCTTGGGTTTTTTTTTCTTTATGTGTGTGTGTGTGGGTGTGTGTGTGTTTTCACTGTGTGCTAATTGACCTTGCAGGGGGGCTTCATTGATTGCCTCATCTTCTCTGATAGATTATAGGGGCTGTTAATGTGGTGGGGAAATGGCAGCGTGGTGGGGCACAGCTGTTGTCACACACACACACACACACACACACACACACACACACACGTACACACACACACAGATATACGCACACACATGCGCTACTGGACACAAGTGCTCTTGGCACCCCTGCAATTCGGGGGCCTCCACAATTATTATTTTCATGGCGGAGGGATTGACGGATTTGATCAAAAGCCAGCAGGTGCTCGTGTCCGCGTTCCATAAAAAGGTACCACGAAAACATGTTTGGTGACGTTTCGACAAATGGATCACTCCTAAAAGTGTCAATCCGTCTCCGAAACCAATCGCCCCAATGATTCTTTTTTTTTAAATGCTCCCCTAGTTGTGATGGAGAGCTTTTCGATGTTCGTTTTACCACCGTCTTTCTCCTAAAGGAACCTGTAGATTTCCGTAGAAACGCAGCCTTTTGCCGCTTGCATCCTTAACGTGTAAACCCCCCTCAGATTCAGGAAGGCTTGTCGCCAAACCACCTGAAGAAAGCCAAGCTGATGTTCTTCTACACTCGCTACCCTTCCTCCAACATGCTCAAGATGTTCTTCTCCGACGTCAAGGTAAGACCCTTTTTCCTTCGTTCTGGGTCTGGGCCCCCTTTTGAGCAATTCTCTTTGCTTCTGAAGAATTTAGTTTGATTTTAAAACGTTAAAGTTAGCTTAAAACTATAGACATAAGGTGAAAGAATAGGCAAAAAAAGTGATGCCATCTCGGGCCTCAGTGCTCAGATTGGCAGATAAGGTAGATGGATGAACAGGTATGCACTTTTGGGACAAAGATTTAGTTCCAGATGCATTTTTTTGTTGGTCGTTATGTTAGCATGTGTGATGTGCTCATCTGAAACTTTTGCGCATTTCTTTGTCACAAAATATTCAGATTTGCTACTTTTTTACACTATGTTTGAGATTGTGTGTGTGTGTGTGTGTGTGTCTGTGCGTGTGTGTGTGTGTGCGTGTGTGTTACGAGACCCCCACGGCGCAGATGGGTGCTCCAGTCTGTCACGTCTTTGTAGCGTAATTAGAGTTTCTGGCCTTAATCGGGGGGTCGGGAAAAGGGGGCTATAACGGGGAGGTGGCCGACGCCCACTTTCCTTCTCATTACTGTAAGGCCCCTCCCCCCCCAACGCGCAGACACCGTGACCTAAACCTTTTTTTTTTTTGTTCACGTGCACGTGCATCCTAGTTTGCCGCTCTCTCCCCTTCCGCGAGTCCCGGGAATCTCAACCTTTTTTCTCACAGCAAATTCCCACCGAGAGCTTTCACGTGTCGAGATACAGAATAAACAAAGTTGTACGTGGGTGGGTGGGATTTGGGGAATGGTGGAAAAGGGGGGGGGCGGGGTGTACAAAAAAGATTAGATGGATTCAAGATGAGCGAGAAAAAGTTTCAGGTGGAATAAGATGTCAAAGTGTGTGCGTGCGATTGTGCGTTTGGACAAAATGAGAATGCGGGGAGGAGGGGGGGGGGGGGGGGGGGGGGGGGGGTGGGGGGGGGGGCAACCAAATGAAGGGGATGACAACAGAACAACAGCTTTAAAACAAAGACTCTGATTGTTTTGTGTTTACAAGCTGCGACGGGTTTTGCAAAGGAGCATACGGCTCCTCGACAGATTCAGGACGCTGTATTCAAATGAGCAGCCGCACACACACACACACAATCGCACGCACACACACACACACACAAACACGCACAGACACCAGCTGCCCTTTGGCTCATATCTGTGGTGACCATTTCCTCATGGCAGTGCCACATCCTCATCGGCTGCCATGGCAACAAGGGTCGCCGGGACACCGGGTTGCTAGGCAAACACAAGGTTGCAAAGCCTACCTGCTGCCAGAGAGCGAGTCTAAGTTGTCATTAACAAGGACTCCATTAAGTGATAAAAAAAAGGGCTTTGCCGCGGGAATAAAATAGCAAGCCGAAGGATTTTATTGGTCAATGAAAAAGCCTACCGGCATTTTTAATATCTCAATAGATGTTTCTTAAACGCCCTCTGAAAGAAAATCACTCGAAATCCTGAAAGTTTCAACGATCACTCTTTAAAAAGTGTTCAATAATTCATTCACTCAGTTACACAAGCCGCCATTTTTTATGCATAACACGAGCCTGTTTTTGTCCTTGGATCAGATAAGACATTTTCCAAAGAGTTCACACATCTAGCAAACGATTCTCTCGAGGCACCGTTTGTACAACAAGAAATATCTAGTCGCTCTCGTTCGGCCATATTGCAGAAATTTCTCAAAAGAAAGTCGACAACTCATCCGTGACTACCATTTTTGGAAGGTGTGTGTAGACAATATGAAAACCAGCAACATGTAGTTTAGACAGTTATCTGTACTTCTTGTCATGGTTATGACATTTTCTAAACTTTGAACTAGGCAAGGTAAACTAGCATAGACTTGTGTTGTTGTTTTTTTGCACCGAGCCCCTTTCAGATGACTTGTAGAAAAGTTTGAGGCTACGACGGATTAATGAAACAGGCGGGCTGAAAAAGTGCTACCATAAGCTACATTCTTTTTATTTTACAAGTTTACAAGCTTCGCGATAAACTCGCAAGCGAATGCGCTTCCCAAAGTCCGTTCTTCTAAAATATCTTGAGAACCTTTGAGATGTTGGTACAGGATTATGGTACAGGATTATAATAAAAGTGTTTTCATGTTGAAATGTGCTGACGCAATCCCTTATCTAATCGGACGTGATTTAGCTTTCATGGTCAACATAGCCTAGCTTTGAGTTCCACTTTGGTGAATAAATACATTGGAACAAATGAGTATCTTAATCAGCTCAGTTTATGAGTTTTTTCTTCCGGAGAATGACATTAACTTTCGGAATAAGTCCCTAATAACTGGGTTTATCCCCCAAACCGACATTTAATTAATCTCCTCGATATCAACAAACAAGGATTTAGATTAGGAAATGCTGGCACCGCTTTGGCCAGCCACTTAGCGGAGTAGAAGGACATTGTTGCAGCCTCGGTATTGACAGCTAGAGCTACAATCGGTTTTACTGGAAAAAATAAAAAAAGTCAGTTGGAAATTTTAGTTTTAAAAGGCTGAAGAGATAGTTTACAGTTTAAAACACACTACCCAGTGGTTTGTCGGAATGTTGGTTTGATGTCAAACATGGGGGTCGTGTTGCTTGTCGTTTAGTTCAGCAACAAACCAACAGATACCATATATCAGAATTTGGATGACAGTGTGACGGGTTATTGAAGGATGTTATTCTTTGAGATGTTCTAGCTCTATGTTAATTCCTGTTTTATGCAAATAATGGTTTATGGTACTTTCCTGTTTTAATTGAGTCATAATCCCATTTAATCCTGTGTGTCTTTGAGTGAGAGGAACTCTGCAGACGTATCTTTGCTTCATAAAAAAAATGAATCAGGGATAATCCTATTTGTGATGAGTGAGGCTGTTCTTTTCAAGGCTTGTGTGTATGTGTGTGTAAGACTGGAAAGAGAGAGTACCCTGTTACTTGTTTGTATGTGTGTCCTTTTTCATTGTTCCCCTGCATTCATTACCCTCATCATTACCATATTTCCAAATCCGGGTCAATGTCTCTTTCTCTTTTTCTCTCTCTCACCCTCTCTTTTACTTGTACGCCCTATCCCACCCCACCCCTCCTTCCCAGGGAACAATAAGTAGCATGTGTTAGAAGGATCAGGGAGATTCACTGTAAGGGAATTAGGGCCTTGAATGGCTTCCCCTAATTGGACTTGAATAGTCTTTGTCTACGGGGAACTGGTTCTTAAAGATGAGCCTCTTAGATACAATAGCCTCGTCCCTCTGTGTGGGAAGTGGGTTGAGTTGACAATAGTTTCAGGCGCAGATGAGCGAGCACACACGTACACACGTACACAAGGAATCTTAATTGTTTCTGCGAAACCTCTTGCCTTCTGACCAGACAGTCGTAGCAACGCCAAGGTTGCTTGTGTCTCGCCTTGAGAGAGTCAGCGAGAGTAATTAAGATCTCGTTAAGACCGGAGGAGGATTAATTAGACACTCGCCTGGCTCGGGGAGCTCCTTCTTGCTCTCGCGCATACCCTCACTCGCAAGTTTCCTGCCAGCTGAGGGATATTACTCTGGGTAAACCAGTAGACGCGAGACACTCATCACTGAGAGACTCCGGCGCGACGCCTTCCGCCGGAGTAAATTACGGTCCGACCTGCCATTCAACCGCCCCGTCAATCAAGCGTTGAAGTGGTTTGACTGACCGAGTCCTTAACGTTGACGCGGAAGTCCTTCCATCTTCAAAGAAGTTTGACGAAATGTAAGCATGTCAGTGGTAATTCTTGTAGACTAGTAGAGAAGAAATGGCCAAAAACAATCATTCGCAGACCCCCGGGGTGTTTCCGGATTCCCATTTCATTGTCATTTTTGCGCTTCCATATTGTCCTTGCAAAAAAAATTTGCTGAGCTACGAGGATTCCAGATGAACCGAGCAGATTCTTAAAGGATGTCAGTGTTTGCCCTTCCATTGTGGCCTGGGGGAGTTTGCCCACACCCCTCGTCGAGGCAAGAAGAGGGGGAACCAGGGCCACCCTGACACCTTCTGACACTTTCTCTTACCTCCTTTTCATGGCAAACTGAAAATGGCATTCCTTGAACTCAGCATTTTACCTCCTTGCCACTTTCATTATCTTTCTGTCTTTTGTCTCCATTTTTATGCTGATTGTGATAAGCTGAATGGGACTTTGGATGTGTGAGAGAGAGCAGGTGATGGGTGCTTGCACATGCATTTATGTCCCATCTTGAAGCTGGCCCACTTTCATGTTGTTTAATGTATCAATTTAAACTTTTTCATAAACTTTTCACAAACAAAAGCTTCAGGCTTATCGTGTTTTTGTAAATGATAAAAAAGATAGATATTAGATTAAAATTTGAATAAGTAATGAAATGTGAACATTGAACAAAGAAATTAGCAACAGCTTGATCAAATCTAACAAGCTCGAAAACCCATACTTGGTATGGCCACCTGTATTCTTTCACGCAACCTGAATCCTTGTATATATCCTTTCTTGTCATTCCTTTAAGTAGTTTTCAGGCTCCCTGAAAGACATTCCAACACTTTTCTTGGGATGTTGGCAGTCTTTTTGCTCCGTTCTCGGTCAGATGATCCCACACTGCCTCGATAAAGTCGAGGTCCGGGCTCTGGGGAGGATTCATCCCTCCAGAAGACCTGTTGCCACTGATTTTTAGTCCAGCACTTGTGTCATTTGGCTTAGCTCAGCCCGTTTCTCCCTTTTTTCCCCTTCCTTAAGAATGCCTTCTTGGCAGAGACCCTCCCACAGAGACCATTTCTGATGAGGCTTTGGCAAACAGTGGACGGATCAACCAAAGGGCCAGATGTATCTCCCTGGTCTTGAGTCAGGTCTTTGCTGGATTTCTTCCTAGTTCTTAAAGACATTATTTTCAAAAATCCTTCATCTGCTGCAAATAGTTTTTTCTTGGACCTGCCACTTCTTCTACAAACATGAAATAACTTGAAATATGCTTTTAGATACGTTTTCTGCTAATAGTTTTTCAGGAAAAATCTTTTTGGAAACAAAAATCCTAATTTATGTCTCTGTAGATTTAAAAAAATAAATCATAGATGCAACTCAAGAAGTATGAATAAATGATCCGTCTTTGTGAAGAAAAAATCTAACAAATTACCTGAGTTCTATGGTATTTGTCAGACAGCACCCTTGAATTAAGTGGCTTTGTATGCGCGAACGATTCGTAGGTCAGTGTTAAGGGTCTTAAAAGAAATAAAAACACTCCTCTGAAAATGATCGGGTACAAGGACTGCTCGGAGAATGAGAGAAAAAGAATAGTCAATCTCCAAATAAGTCCTTTGAAAGATCTTTAGAGAGCCTAGAAAATGATTACTCAAGACCTCTTTAAAAGATTGCAAGAAAGTCTAGTTCTTTTGATGAAAATGAATAAAGAAATATAGGAACTGGCTCAAAACATTCGCACAGTACTGAACCTGCTTTGAGCAAATAAGAAGGGATTGCACCAAATGACTGATGGTGAACAGTCAAACATCCATGACGTTATCCTAAACAATATTTTGAGACCTATTCTCAGTATAGAGTTGGATGTCTTTATTCATTTATGTCATCTAAGTCGTAAGCCAGAAGCCTTTGGAGTAGTCGTGGGGTATCTATTCTCCATCTCCCCCTCAGAACTTATTGGAAATGAAACACCAAGATGTGCTCATTTTCAATCTTGGTTGCCCCAGAAAAAGGCGGCATGAGGGAGTGCACCTCAATATTCTTGAGAGAAATTCATTCATTGTGTATAGGACTGTAAAATCCAACACGAGACTCTAAAATTGGATAGAAAAGATGGGAATGCCGCAATTTTACTTAATTAGAATATGATAGCGGGTTCAACTCGTGATTAGTTAGTATAGTTAACTTTATATTGTGTAAATCCAGCACTTCATTTGTCATAGCAGATAGAGGTTTCCCTTCAAGTTTGATATATAGTTAGTATTTCCATTTAAGTTTTAATCTGAGATCGTAAGAATCCTACTGTAGACAATCGAAGACCCCTTACGTCTACATTTTACAGCCTCTAAGGTCTTAGCGAGTTAGGTCACCTGAGTGATTTTGAGTTCTACAAATGAGAAATTTGGGCAACGGACTGATAGGAAGAATATGTTACTTCAGTGATCTTGTCAACTGCGAAAACGTTGACTTGTCAAGTAAATTGGCATGGTAGGACGATGACAAACACGTCAGCTCCAGATGTGTGATTTAGCTACATGTGTCTTTACTGGTAACTAGGCGGATATGTAAAAAGACGAGTTATAAATTAAACTTCAAATGCGTGCCATGCCTAGAGCTGGACTTAGACATTAAGACAGTTGATCCATCTGGGTTCTGGCACATTTTCGAAGTTGAAATAACAATGTTGATGTCATTTTTTTAAATTAATCACCTCCTATTTGGCAATTTGTTGAAAA